GCTACAAAAGACAAGAGAAAAACCACCCAAACAGGAAAATAATTGAACAGAGACGACCGAAGAAACGGATTCATGGAAGATCAATACTTGACACAGCCACTGAACTAGTAGAAAAACATAATCTTCCATGTAACAGAGAAATGCTGAAACCCTTAAGACCAGAACTTCCCCCAAACACTAACATCAAGAATGCCAACATCAAAACTCCCTCATAAAAGAGACAGTGAAAAAGGAATGTGACCCAGTAGAACTGAAGACAACAACTCTTAAGACAATTGACTCCTACCCTAATGATTCAATTCATATTTATACAGACGGGTCAGCCTTCAAGGGAACTATAAACGCAGGCTTTGGGGTAAGAATTGAACATCCTGACAAAACATGTGAAGAGCTATTTGATGCATGTGGTACTTCTTGTACAAATTACGAGGCTGGGGCCATCGCCATTGAAGCTGCAATCCTCCACCTGACCAACATTTTCATAAAACATCCAAACAAAATCAAGAACACTATTATCTTTACAGACGGAAAGTCAGTACTCCAAGCTTTGGAAAACATGAATTTCGAAAGCCCAGCCTGCCTATCTGTGGCTCAAACAATCAACACCTTCCTACAGACCTATGCCGTCGACCTGACACTACAGTGGATACCTGGCCACAGCAACATCCCAGGAAACGACAGAGCAGACACCCTTGCCAAGAAGGGAGCATCACAAACACAATCACACAACCCAGTATCACAACAGACAGCCAAGAACATCATCAAATTTTAATGCAACACCAGGGAACAGTGGCTGAATGGATGGGCAATGGGCAAAACTGGAAGAACTGTATTTGCACTCATGACAGCCCCCAACTCTAAAGATGCAATAAATTCCCTGAGTAGAAGAGACCAAGTCACAATATTTCGCCTGCGAACACAACAAATACCACTAAATTCCTACCTCAATAGGATCCGCAAGGATACCCCACCCGACTGCCCGTTGTGTGACTGCCAGGATGAAACAGTACCACACCACCTCTTTAACTTCCCAGCACTTTATGACCTGCGTAGCACCTACCTACCTGCCTCCCCAGACATCGGAAATACTCTATACAGCGACAAAGCACACCTGATTAAATCCTGTAAATTCTTTGCCATACATCGACAGACCGAAGGGCTAGAACCCAAAATGGCCGCTGGATCGGAAAAGTAAAGTAATTTCCTTCCTCTGACACCAGACAAACTCCACCTCTTTCATTCGCAAATATCTCGACTTTTGTACAAGATAGATGGGTAGTCTTTTATCAAAGTCAATGCAATTATACAAGCTTTAAGATTATATTATAAATCTCTCCATTTGCTCAAAAATTGATGAGCGGTTAATTCCTCTATGTTATAACGCAACGTTTTAAAATAGGCTCCTGAAGTGAAGCAGTATGAACGTTTTTTTTAAATTGTTTTCTATTTATTTATTTATTTATTTAT